GGAATTAGCCTCTGATTGCTGGATTTGTGCACCACTCACCATGATGACTTATCAGGCAACTGGCATCATGAGTGACCTGCCCTTAGAGCCAATATAGCTTACTACGTACCCCTTACTCAGCTACCAATTACATATAATTGGTATAAACTCAATGAGGGGTAAGGAGTTGCTCCAAAAACAAAGGGAGGAATGATAGAGAGAACTTTTGTATATAAAAATCTACAAAATGTTAGGAAAATGTAAAATGATTTTTGTTGTCTCTAACAGAAACCTGCTTTATTTAGTTCAAAGTTAACAGACACTGGTGGCATTAACCATGATATGGGACATCTGGCCTCATCCCTGACCTTGAACACCCCCTTCCCATGCACTAGAATAGATAGCTAGACAAATCTTAAGGTAAACTCCCTAACTATAAGAAATTGTTATGTCTCAGTTAAAGTGAATTGTCTTGTTATTTTACCTGTGCATGGGTAATGTGAACTGAGAAAATGAAATGCAACCACCTGAATGAGATCATAGCTATAAAACCTATAGAAGAGGAAGCTGCAACCCAATAGCGGGTTGATCACTGGCACTGCCTTTTTTAATGTGATCGACCTTTGCTGTCAAAATAAACTTTTTATTATTTTACTTATAGGCAGCTCATTTCTATGTGCATGTCACTTGCCAATTCCTTCTGCAACAACAGAATAAACTTGGAGTGATTCTAAAAGAAAAAAAGCCAGTTTTGTCCCAACTCATTAACATGAATTAGTCTAACTTACCTGGCTATCTTCAGTATTTTAATAATCTTAACATTTTCATGCATGAATGGAATGGAAGGTATTTTCCACTGAAGTAGATAAGGTCATGGGACACAAACAAATGTTAGAAAACTAGACAGAACTTGAGCAGATTGTTATGATTCATTCCATAGTTGAACAAGTACATTATACTTGTATATTGAACATGTATATATATATCTGTAAAAACCAGATAACTTATAAAGTGATAGAAGAGCCTGATTTTAGTTTCCATCCAAAAAAGATTGATGTATAGACAATCAGTGGGTCCTAAATCCATCTACCCCTTCCTCTGATCTGCTGGCACCCCTCATTAGCCAAACCCAACCTGAAGCACAAAATTCGAACACTCATGACAAAGCAAGCGAAGGGAGAGAAGGAGCACGTAGACTCCCCAATACTGTGTTAAGAGGCTTTTGTGCTAATTGAAGTAGGTATGTGTTAGCATAAGTACATGCTGATGAGAAGGGCCCAGAACAAAAGTTGGTGCTACAGAAAAGATGAAACAAAATCCCCATTTAGAGGGAAATGATAAAATATTGTGACAAGAAGATTGGTGCTTAATCAATGTGAAGACAGATGTCCCCTCACTCTGTACTGGAGATTGAACACAGGGCCTTCACACTGAGCTATATATCTGCTGCCTTTTTTTGTTTTGTTTTGATACAAGGTCTTGCTAATTTGCTCAGGGTGGGCTTTGAACTCACAATCTTGCAGCGGCCTCCTAGAATGCTGGAATTACAGGCATGGAACCACCATGCCTGGTTGACAGATCATCTCTTATAACATGAGGAAATATGAAAAGGATGATTCAGAGTAAATGCAGGAAAAAAATGAAGGCAGATAATAAGCTTGGTGATGAGTTTGCATGGTATTTTTCTGATTACTTCCATATCTCAGTGAAATAAGAGCCAAAATGGGGGTGGGGGGACAGAGAGGCAGGGGGCAGAGAAAGGCAGTATGACAAGGAGCTATCTCCAGGATGTGAGAAGACATCACTGAGGAAATCTACAGAAGTGTAGCACTTAAGAACCCACTCAAGGTCATGGTCTTGAGGAGAGGGTGGCCAGGTGATTGCTCAGCTACATTCTGTGTACCAGGAAAGACTGACTCTTTTTCTAGAGAAACAAGGGAGGCAGCAGAGGAAGGGTGAGGCAGAGTGTGACTGTCATAATTGTCCAACAAGTGAATTAAGTTGGTAACAGTGATCCCAAACAAATGCTGGCCTCAGACACTCAAAAGAGCAAACCTAGAGGTCAGCAAGGGTGCTTGACATGAAAATGTGGAAGGGTGGGCAGTATCATAATTGTCCAGGACTAGAGAACAACCTTGCTGCAGTAACCAAAGCAGGCAGAGTGGGCCAAGGGTGATGGTGTGGAGTGTTAGATGAGTTATGTGGACAATGGAATCACTACAGATGATACTACAGGAGTGACCAGACATGCTAATATTCTGTGACACCGTCAGAGACCCATAGCTGCCAGTGCCAGGAAAGGCCACAGGTGCAATACTGAACACCATGCACTGCTCCAGTACTGGGATTGAGGAAGCACAACAGTAACCTGGATGTCACAAAGGGAAGCCATCTGCAATCCTCATGGGGGACAACAGAGAGAAAAGGGGGGGAAATGCCAGTTAGGACAGTCTCTAACAGAACCAAGTCCATACTTTGGAATCTTCTGGAGGGTTTCAGAACCACAGATGTCCAGTCACAGGCTCTGGGGATCCTGCACCATTGGTCCTACCAAGGGCAGACTCCAGAGCCAACCTCCCCAAGTTGCCTCCATAGCAGTAGAAGGTAGACCAGTTCTGCTGGGCATGTCTTGCTCACAGAGTTCTGTTACAGATGACTATTACACATCATTTCTCCTGTATTTTTAGAATTATATGTATAAGTAGGTTATATCATCTATGGATTTGATTTTATGCTAGCAAAGGGGTTAAGAAAAAATTGCTATAAACAGGAATCTTGAAGGTGAGAACAAGTGGCATCAGGGACTGTGCTCCAGGAGCACAGAGCAGACTTTGAGGTCTGTGTCCAGCCAGGAGATAATCAGGACCAAAGTGATGAGGGTCAGCTGGTCAGACAAGGACTTGGACACAATGAGGTTTGCTCTGGTGGTACAAGAGTAGAATTTGGGTGGGGCAGCTCTGAACAGACACACCTTTGTGGGAACCGGCTAGGTTCCCATAGGAACCATCAGCCACCAGAGGGCAGCAGAGGACAGGAGGTGAGGGGCCAGATCACAGTGGGCGTGCTGGAATCAAGCCCTTCAGAAAACAGCTGTCTTTAAAAAAAAAAAAAAAAGACAGACACAACTGTTCTAGGATAGTTTGGCTTAGGGCCCAGGTGTCCCCGCCTGTTTTACTAGAACACGCACTGAGACTAGCACCTGTCTGACTAGCCACTGAGGGAAGGATATGTCACCCACATCCTTCCTCATACCCGGCTGTGACCAGATCCCAGGCATAGCCCCTCTCAACCTCTAAGGCCACATTCCCTGCCCTGAACACTGTTGCTTGCTTCAGGCCTCCTGTGGCACTGGGCCCCCAGGGCTCTGTCCCCCTCCTTCTTGCCACTCCATCTGAGCAGTGTGGAGGGGAGATGCCAACCCCTAAAAGGGAGACACAGCACTACACCACAAGGCCTAGCATGACTAGAGGCCTTTGGGTCTAGCCCCCTGCCCCACTTCATGCAATGCACAGGGCCCCTCGCCTGGGTTCACAACACTCCTACTCACTCCAACTCATTTGCTAACAGCCCATGTTGCTGACCCAAGCCCAGTACTGCTTGGCATTCAGTGGATGTGCCTGGCCTCAGCTCACCTGCCAGGACCTGATGAACAGGACAGGCCCGCCCTCGGGCATGATGCCACCTGCTAAGGCATAAAAGCCCAGAGTCTGCCTAGGTAGTCTCTGAGACTGCCATCATGAAGGGGAGCAGCGCCCTCCTGCTAGTGGCCCTCAGTGTTCTCTGTGTCCGTGGTAAGTCGGGGACAGGTTTCCAGCACATTCAGGGACAGAGGCCTGGGATGCAGTGGATACCTCTTGCTTTCTGCACAGATCACCCACAGAGCAGCACAGACAACGCTAACCCCAGTCCCTACGCAGGTCCACCCAGCCCAATATCACCCATTCTGGTTCAATCCAGCATGACCCCAACTCTCAAAGCCCTAGTTCACATCAGGGAAGGAAATGACCCCTTACCAGAGCTCAGCTTTCCTTTCCTGGTGAGGCCAGGAACAGAATGTAGAAACTGGATGCTGAGATGGGGGCGTGAATGGAGGTATCTGTGGCATGTAGGGCTGTACTATTAAGGAGGCGGATATGGTGAAGACCACAGAGCTTGGAGGTCAAGGGTAGACCCTGTCCTGATGTCATTTCCCTTTGCAACACAGGGCTGGCCACAGAGGACAACAGTGAATTCTTCATGGAGTTCCTGCAAACACTGCTTGTTGGAAGCCCAGAGGAGCTCTACGAGGGGCCGCTGAGCAAGTACAATGTCAACCAGGGTGCCAAGGAGGCACTGACAGAGCTCAAGTCCTGCATTGATGGTCTGCAGCCCATGCACAAGGCGGATCTGGTCGAGTTGCTGGTACTGGGGCCAGGGAATCCCCCTCCCTCAAGGCCTAAAATCCTTCCAAGACCTGCCCAACCCATGGTCCCTGGTCACTAGTCCAAGACAGCACCCCACAGCCCTCCCACAGACACTGAGGTCTGAGGTGAATACCCCAGACCTCTGTACTCCACAGAGAAGCCCCTGGGGCCCTCTGACATGTTCCCTGCCCAGCCAGTGGGCTATGACCTGTACAAGCATGTGTACACACATGAAAACATACATGCTCATGCTTCCTAGCCACTGGGGTGTATGTCACAATGGGCCCACACCCATCTCTTCCAGAGGGGGGCCTGGTTGTCTGACTCAGGAAGCAGTAGCTCTCAGGTTATTGGTTACCAGCTTGCTGGGCCCACACACATCTGCCTTCTAGGAACAAGTGCTGGGCAATGAAGACGATGCCTGAGTGGACATCCGATATGGACCCCAACAGCACAGGACCAGCCACACCAGTAGCCCTGGATGTGCTGCCATGGCTGCTTCCCTGAGTAAATTGACCTTCAAACTGTTAGACCAATAAAGCCTCCTGCAGCCTAGGCACTGGCTCCTGTTTCTCCTCTAGAGACACACACAAAAGGCTACCTAGAGCACAACCAGGGGCACACCCAAACAGACTCAGATATGTGGATCACATACAAGAGGCCCACCCAGAGGGATGCACAGGAGCAGGCTCACGTGATCCCGACAGAATCCCAACAGATACCATATGGCAAAGGATGGAGCACAGAACCAGGGAGGCATCAGGTGGAGGTCTGGGCAGCAGAACTAGGGGTAGCAGAGCTCAGAAAGAGGAAATGTTCAGGGCTGGGTGGGGAAGGACACTTCCCAATCTACCTGAGGAAAGCAGCTAGCCATACACGGGACACATGGGACAGCATGGGCAACAGATACATGGGCATCAGGGGCTTTGAGAAGAATCTCTTCCCAAAGTCACCCAAAGAGAGAGGCCCCAAGTGGAGTCTGAGCCTAAGAGGTCCCTAGTAATGTCAAGAGAGCACCCCAGGGCCCCACAGTGGGGTGGACAAATTGGGTCAAAGGAAGGTCAACAGGAGTGGTTTCTCCATCCTGGATCCTGCTCAGCACAACACAGATCCCAATCTGACTCTGGACCCAGGATTCCTGGCAGTCAGAGTTTCCCTGTGCCTCAGTCTCCCCAGCTCAGGGACTCTGATGGGGCAGGGCTGACTGCTCACATTTACTCCTGGGCCACCCTGGGCTCCCTTGTCCCAGATACCCCAAAGAACATCAGGATCTGGTGAGAGAAGAGTCCCTGGAGAAGGTGGGGGACCCAAGTGAGAGTGAGATCCCTGGAGGAGAGGGTCTCTGGAAAAGGTGAGGTCACTGGGAAGGGTGGGGCCTAGTGAGGGCCTGGGCCTGGGCCATTGTCTCCGTCATACTCACTGTGACCTAGAACTCCCCATCCCACAAAACCACATTCTAGAGCTCAGGGACCCCTCCACAATTCTCAAGCCCAAAGGGAGAAGGGAATCCTTTCTCTCCGTGTTCTTTTCTCTGGAACTGCCTGGCACTGAGACCCGGGGAAGCAGACTACCTGCAAGGAGGCTGGGTAGCAGGCCGCTCTGAGCTTCCCCACCCCGAAGAGGTAAGGCCCCAGCCCCCTACCCAGCCACAGCACAGCTCCACCATGGGAGCTCCTTACCAAGTGAGGAGCAGCATTTTTCAAGCACAAGGAGCCTGCCCAGGACCCCTGAGAGCCAAGAGGGTGGTGAGTCACTAGCCAGAGAGACCACAGACAGGGCCTAGCACTTATCCTACAGCTAGAGAGGGCTGAGCCCACCCCACTGAGCAGAAAGTTCCCATTGCCCATGACTACTTGAGAGTCTGTGGAAGCTGCAGACTACAGCTCTGCCCCATCAGCATCAGCAGGACCAGAGATGGGGTTGTTGGGGTGGGGATAAGGCAAACCAGGACTTCTGGCACCTATCGTTCTTGTCCACAGACAGAGCCAGCTATGGCAGAGGAGGTATGGGTGGGCACCTGGAGGCCCCATCGGCCCCGGGGACCCATCATGGCCCTCTACAGCAGCCCTGGCCCCAAGTACCTAATTCCACCTACCACAGGTCAGCAGGGGAGGATGACAGCCTGGAGTGGGTCTAGGTGACCTGGAGTGGATCTGGGTGGGCTGGATTGGGTCTGGGTGGATCTGGGTGGCCTGAGTGACCTGGGGTACATCTGGGTTGGTCTGAGGCTTCAACCTAGACTGCCAGTTGGGTCAAAAGAGCATCTGGTTCCAGGCTGCTCAGAGCCACCGTGTCCACAGGCTTTGTGAAGCACACACCCACCAAGCTGCGTGCGCCAGCCTACAGCTTCCGTGGGGCCCCCATGCTCCTGGCAGAGAACTGCTCCCCAGGACCCCGCTATAGCATGAACCCCAAGATACTAAGGACTGGCAAGGACCTTGGCCCTGCCTACTCCATCCTGGGGCGCTACCACACCAAGACCATCCTGACCCCAGGCCCAGGTGAGAGACCCCATCTCATACTCCCCTCCCAGGGAAGAGGGACTGTCCCCACATCATTCCCACTATCCCTTCGGGGGGGCACTGTGTCCTAATATGTCAAGATGAGGTGTACCTTGTCTACCCTGTCCTCTCCTTCTACTCTCAAGGTACCATCAGGCCCTAACACACAACCCTGCTCCAAAATAGCTCCTGTCCGCCAAGCCCAAAGCCAGGGTTTCCACCTTGGACACTCCCAAACCCACTCACTGCCAGTGATGGGGAAAAGCTTCACACCTGGAAGGTTGGGATTCTTCTTGAATGCCTGGGGTGGATGAGCAACTACACCCTCATTCCTCCCACCCCATACAGGGGATTGAACTCGGGACTTTACGCTTGTGAGACAGGCACAGCGCCACTGAGCTAAATCTCGGGCCCTGTACCTTCGTTCTTGCACCCCTTCTTTCCACCACAGGTGATTACTTTCCAGAGAAGTCTGCCAAGCACGTGTTTGACTCAGCACCCAGCCACTCCATCTCCACCCGCACCAAGACCTTTCGGATAGACAGCACTCCAGGTCTGCCCCAGCCCAGTCACCTGGACGACTGGTGTTTGGGTCCCACAGGGGTAGATGAGAAGCAGCTCAATGGCAGATGGAAACTCTGCTGAGCTGTGGCCTGAAGCTCCCGTCTACCCTGCAGGCCCCGCCGCATACATGCTGCCAGTGGTTATGGGACCGCACACTGTGGGTAAGGCCTCCCAGCCTTCCTTCTCCATCAAGGGCCGCAGCAAGCAAGGTAGCTTCAGCGACGACCTGCACAAGGCAAGGGTCACCCAGCCTTGGACAGGGCACAGCTCCTAAACCCAGGAACCCCAGCCCATTGCTGCACTGCAGGCACCTTGCAACTTTGGCCCTCTGAGTGCCTGGGGAGGAGGGCACCAGCAAAGAAGACAGTGCCAGGACTGAAGAAAACCCGAGAGGGGTATACAGAGCCTACCTAGAAGGCACAAAACACTTTTTAAATGCTTCAAAGAACAAAGGAAGAACTAAGCTCTGGGCCACTGGGGAGGGGGATGATTCCTGCTGTCAACAGCCAGTGCCCTGGGATGAGCATGTGAGGCATTAACATGCAGTGCTGGTCTAGCCCCAGAACACAGCCCTCAAGCCAAAAGGACAGTGTCCCAACTATGAAGGGGCTTCACACACATTCACAGGACTGATAAACATTGGCAGTGTCACTTCCACAATAAGGCTCAAACTGAGGGGCTGACATCCCCAGAGGTACCCCAAGGGAGACTCAGGCATCTCAGAGCTCCCCCTAAGGACTCAGGATCTGAACTGTCTCTGCCCTTGGCCCTCTGGGATCACATGCCATGGGCAAGGTAAACCTATCTGTGCCACCTTCACTTCCCAGACCCCAGGTCCTGCAGCATACCGCCAGACAGATGTGCAGGTGACCAAGTTCAAGGCTCCACAGTACACCATGGCTGCCCGGGTGGAGCCCCCGGGGGACAAGACCCTCAAGCCAGGACCAGGAGCCCACAGCCCTGAGAAGGTCTCGGAACAGCAGACCAGAGGGATTGGGGGAGTCAGGGACACACACAAGGGGACAGGAGGGGAAGGGCTGCACCCTGCAGGGGCCTCAAAATGTTACACTTGCCCCAAGAGCAACCTTTCAAGCACAGAGAACCAGGGCTATCCTTTACCCTGCCAGCAGGCTCTAAATCCCAATCCCGTGACAGTCACTGCCGCAGAGTGCTGGTTCAGGAGGGACAGCACCCAAGCCCGAGCCATTGTCAAGAGCCCTCCTCACAGCCTCTCCTCTCCTAGGTGACACTGCACAAGCCCTGTGCCCCCATTGTCACCTTCAGCATCAAGCACTCTGACTACATGACACCGCTGGTTGTTGATGTGGAATAGCCTCAGCCCTGCACCCTGCAGCCTAGATCCACCTCATGCACACAAGACTCCCAGGGCAGATGCAGTCTGGACATCTCCTTCCAAGCAAAGCCACAGTAGGGGGACCCCGCAGGACAGAGCATGTTTGTTTGGACACTTGTGACAAATTCTGCATTTTTTTTTCTATGCTACCCTCCCATTTGCTAATCTTGCTCTGTGATGTTGCCCAAATTACTTAATAAAAAACAAATTTCAGTTATAAGGTTTTGTCTTGGAAAAAAACAAGTTTGTCCACAGCTTTCAGTGCAGGCTCATGTAAGGTCTCATCCCTGGCTTCCCAGTCTTCAGAGAGAACTCGAAGCTTTGCATCATTCCTACAGTCCCTTGGAGAACCTGGAACACTACGGATAATGGGGTACTGGAGAAGTGTTACTGCCTGACACTTTCTATGTGCCCAAGTTGTGAGGAGGCTTCGTACATCCAAGTGGCCTTCAGTGACAGCCCCAGCCCTTCTGCAGCTGAGGCCTCACCACGGTAAGCAGAGCCAGCCATGCCCACCGCACTGCTTCAAATTCTGGTGCAGTAACAATGAGACATGATAAAACCGTTGCTGCTATATTGAGTGACTAAGTTTCAGGGAAATCCGTTACCTACCAAGAACTAACACAGGATGTGGGTAGGGACACTGGCATCTCAGCTGTGCCTGGGGAATCTACAACAGGTTCCTCAGACCCACAGCCAGGACTTGAAAATTTGGTCTCCCTTTGGCCCAGAAGAGGTTCATGCTGGGCAGACTAAAACCCACACTAGGACAGCAGAGATGCTGACTTCTCTGCGGCGATCAGTTGGGCAGGACACTCCAGGACTGTCATACTCCCTTACCTCCAAGAGGTGATGCTGTCATGCCATGCATGGTAGGGACTCAGCAGAGAAGAGTCACACAGCAGATGGTGTGGACCTATGGCTGTCCTGCCAGAGGCTGAGATGAGGGGGAACAAGGGATCCAGGGAGAAGATGGGGAAGGGAAAGGGTGTATATCACCTAAGCAAAAAAATAAAAATAAAAACTACCTCTCTTAAATCCCTAGAAAAAAAGGACAAAAATATACATCATTCCTTCTTCACAAAGCTGTTTATTCCACATTTTATTGTTGAGATATCCCTGACTGTGAACTACAGCCTAGCAGCCCATCCTCACAGTCCTCACATTGGGTCTTTTTCTAGTTTATTAGTGTTTGAGATCAAGTTGGCAAACCCTACTTACCCTGTGGGACAGGTGTCAGGTATACAAGGGCAAGCTGCAGCACTAGGGTTAGGGGCTCTCGGGAAGCTGACCTGACTCAGGGGTAACAGAGCTGTCATACCCCTTCACAGGTTTCAAAGACACAAGGGAGAACAAAAGAGTAAACTGAAAAGAAGTGACAACACGCAGACCAAAGACAGCCAGCAGGGTTGCAAACAACTAAGGAGACAAGAGGCCTGAGGAGAGAACAGAGTAACCAAGGTTATGGAGACGTGGCAAAAGTTCTCCATGTGGGGCCAGGGATTTAGCCCAGTGGTTCTGCCACCTGCCTCACAAGGGCAAGGTCCCAAGTTCAATCCCCAGTACCATTTAAAAAAAAAAAAAAAGTTCTCCACGTGAACACTGCCCTAAATTCCCAGTCTAAGTTTCTAGTCTATACCAGCCAAGATGAGTAGGCAGTAGCCATGATGTGTTCTGGGGTCTGATTTCGTTCCACAGCTTGGCCATGTTATGTTCAGAGGAAGTGAAGTCAGCAGTGTGTGGCCCAGGAAGATGGGGGACGTGGAGCTGGAGAATGACTGCTCTCTGCAATGTCTGCAGAACCAGATGGGGACACGACACTGGCAGCGTACATACTTGGTGACAGCAAAAGACTAAGCAGAAGCCATGGTGCCAGGTAAGAGTGGCAGGGCACATAAAGACCAAGGAGAGAACACAAGGAAGACTTGGCCACCGGAGGGAGGATTGTCAGGGAAACAGCAAAGCCATGGAAAAGGAGAGGCAGTGAGAAGCTATCATGCACTAGAACGAAAAGAAGTCAAAAGAAAAAGGAGGGTCTTCTTCCCTCAGAAGATGTAGGGGCTTAGCCACACCCAGTGGAGGAGACAGGAGATGAGAAGAGGGACTGTGTGAGCTTGTGTGGGGAAAGAACGAAGAGGGTGGGTAGTCGAGCCTGCAGAGGGAGCAGGGTGGGGCCATGGTGATGAGAAGGCAGTTTGTGGCTGACCGCTCAACCCAGAACTCAGAACAGTTCTAGCTGGATAAGATTCATGGTGCAGATATATTGGTAGGCAGACAGTGAGTTATTAGTGCTAGGGAGGGTGGAGTGGCTGGAAGACAGATTGGAATAAGGAAAAGAAGGACACAAAGCCGGCCAACTCATTCCTTAAAGATTCTTTATGTGAAGACAAAAGTGATAGTCTCTCAGTCTCATAGTTCAGTTTGTATGAAGGTGGACTGGCCACACTTCCTGGAGGGAAGTGTGCAGGGGATGGAAGGGTGGCTTGGAGTATCCCCATTGCAAGGGAAGACTAGGTATGGGAGGCAGGCAAGGGTGTGGCAGAAAAGCAAAAGTTATACTATAAATGGCACAGTAGCCTCTCCAGACAGCCTTCAGCTCCAGGACAGCCTTTCAGGAAAAAACCTCCCCAACACTCTACCTGACTGTGAAATGCCAGTACAGCACTGGAGAGGCTCTGAATCCTGAGGATACCCATTTCTATCTCTAGACATATGGCCCGGTGACCCAGAAGGATCCCAGCCCAATGTCCAGCCAAGGCTGTGGTCCATACCTTCATCAACAGTCCCTACCCTTCTTAGAGATTTGGCTTCATCAGGGGACTGGAGGGCACAGTCCTTCCCCAGGAATACTTGGCCCATATCAGACCATCCCTGCTCAGCAATCTTCGCCAGGAGTAACTGATACATTCAAGTTGAGGATCTGCAGGTGAAGGAGCCAGCTCTTATTGGGGTCACAATCATAGTCCCTTCCTGTGGCATCCCCAAGGCTCCTCAGATCATAGATAGGTCCTCACTCAGGAACAGATAGCACAGAAAGGCCTTAAGATCTCAGAGCTCTTGAGGGCTGGGGAAAGGGCACCTGGCCATGTGGGTACATTCAGGACTCAGAAATGCTCTGCTTAGAGCTGGCTGGTTCTGGTGCACTGTGGCCCCAGCCTAGCCAGTGTCTCTAGCACCAGGAGTGGAGGTGGAGGTTGGGCCTTGCTTTGTCCAAGGGAAAAGGTCCTTCCACATGGGAGCAGCCAGCACAATGAGCTCAGAAGGTCAGAGGCCCCACCACACAGGAAGAAGATTCCCGACCACGGTAGTGATTTCAAAGTAGTATTTTGCAGATAAGTCCTCAGGAGGTCAGAATACCAGGTGGGGAGGACCTTGGTACCTCTGGCTCCCACTGGTTCACGTCCTTGCCCTTGACAAGAAGTAGGAAAGGATGAAGAATGCCACAAGCAGGCCCACAGCCATGCCACACAAAAGTTTCCGGTTGTCTCGCCCAGACCGTGCCATCGTGGAAAACCGCTTCACACTCCCCGTGAGCAGGCCAGTCACACTTGTGAAATCTGAGTCCTGGGGCAGGGGGCAGCAGGATCACAAAGGGAACCATGTCAAATACCACCCCCCCCATCACTGGAGCACAGACTGCAGAGCTAGCAGCATGGGGTGGCTCCTGCACTCTGCAGACCCTTACCACGCTGTCCAGGTATTGATTCTGGTCTTCCACATCCCTATCGATGTCCAGGGCCAGCTGGTGAGGACACAGAGCAAAGTCAGGTCAAGGAGACAAGGAATACAGCACTCATTCTCCCCTCCAACCAGTCCGACCTTGTCCTTAACCCCGCTGTACAGGTTGCCACCAGCAAAAGGTTAGAAACCTGCCTAAAATCCCCTAGACCTCTCTCCACATCCCCTTAACCCTTTGAGGTGGAAGTGAAAGGGGCCACCACTGACCGATTTGAGCCTGGTAACCTTGGAAGCCAGGCTATCAGCCATCCTCTTGTTCTCCCGGTCTAGAAGCTCCTCCACAGCACCAGAGCTCTGAGCTATGAAAAGAGATAGGCCAAGAAGTTGCATACACCCATGAATGAAACTCCAAATCTCCTCACTCCAATCAAGTCTATGACTTCTCAGCAGGTGAACCATGCATTTGAAGGACAGGCCTGTAGAACTATCAGGTGAGTAGAGGTCCTTCATGTAGACCTGTGGGAAGGAACTCCCACAGGCTCAGTCTATGCAGCCCCTCCTGATGCTATGCCAGAACATGGATTAATCCTAGGAACACTGGAAAGATGCACTTGCCTCCAGAGACATCATCGTCTATGCTAAAGCACTGTTCTCAAAGAAAGAGCAAACTCTGGTAGGGTCATAAGAAAGACTGAAAGATCATCCAGAAATGCGGCAAAATAAGTGAATAAAACTCAACCACCCATAATTATCGCTGAGATTGGCCTACTGTGACACCCATGGTGCCCGCGGAAACCTTACAGGGATGGGCCCGGTGAGGTGACATTCCCAAGCATATAACATGGGAGAGAACCGCCGCTTCTAAACACAGTGCAAATTCGCTCTGGCCCGACGCAAACAGGCGATGTGACCTATGGCATGGACTGCAGCCCTAGGAACCACTGGCATGCTCAGAACCAGAAGAAAGGGTGCTGGCTTCCTGATAACCACCCCAAGCTCGTTCACTTCTTTCACATAACAGACCAAGACGCCTGGGCCTCAAGTCAGCGGACGCTTGCTCGGACCCCTGTCCACCTCACCCTGCATCCAAGGAATGTCCCGCCTGGACCCTGAGGCTCCACCCAGCTCATGAACCCAGGCAAATCATCTGTTGCCCTCCCAGCGTCAGTCCCGGCCACCCCCCCACACCTCGGCCCGGAGGCCCTATCCGTCTCCAAGGGACCTCCCGTGAGGGAGGCGGGCCGGGCCCCACCGCACGATCCCGAAACCGCTTTCGCGCGCTCACCCCTAGCCCAGTCCGCCATTATAATCGTTCAGCGTCAGCCACTAATCACTGACGCCGCCATGGGCGTTGCAGACGTGGCAAGGATACCGCGACACACTTCCGGCTCCGCCTCTCGCAAGGCCCTCCCCTTCCGTCCAGGCCCACCCGACTTCCGACAGGAGGGCGTGGCGCGGTGGGAAAGTTAGTGATGTATTTTCGCAGCCCTAAATTAGGGGAGGAGCGGGCTTCCGCCCTGGGTTGGCCGGTTGTTTGGACTGCATTCTTAGTGCCCGGATGTGACTGTCAGTCAGGTCCTTCCGGTCAGCAGACGAAGACGTGTCTGGGCGTGGCAGGAACCGAATGGTCCTGTACTGGCGTGACTAGGCCCAGAAAACTGCCTCTGGAAGGCGGAGGTGGGCGCTCAGAAACTTGCTTAAAATGGAGGTGTTAAGGATTACGGAAAAATGAAGCGAGGACACATGGGAAAGAGAGAGCCTTGAACGGCCCCGCTCGCGGTAGCGAGTGGACAGGCTGCATGTACAGTCAGCGCCCCCCATGAGCCGTTGCCGGTCTGCCTTGCAATATTCAGCACACCCTCTGAAGCAGACACGTCCGCCAGCTCCCTCCAGAGGGCTCCGGGACCAGGCCGGCAGGGTGTCTCCCCGCCGCCCCCCAGCCATCTCTTGAAGCACTTTACACTCCCCAGTTCATGTTTCCCCCGTGAACTCCACAAAGGCAAGCAGCGAGCTTTCCGCACAGTTGCCCACTAGCTGTACTTGGGCATCGGCTGCGAATGGGCGAGAGCTTCATCTACTAGGGACACAGGAGGGACCGTGAGCCTCGCCCATCAATCAGTCTTGGCCTGAATCGGTAGCCCAGCCTAGCCAGTGCCCCCTTGGCCGTTCCACCTTAAACCGCGTAGCCCAAGTCCCCGCCCATTGCCGCCGGGTCCCAGCATCCACCGCGCGCCCGCTGACTCTGGGCTTCGCTGCCCCAAATCTTGGGGCTATGGAGCCCCGGGCGGTGGCGGATGCAGTGGAGAATGGAGAGGAAAACGTGATAACGGAAGCTTTGAGAACGTACAACCAGGAGGTGAGCGGAGCCCAGAGTCCAGGGACGCGGGTGGAGGGAAGGGGCAGCGCAGCGTGTGGGTGTGCGGGCAGACGGGAATGACTGTGGCGTGAGCTCCAAGCGGGCGTGGTTGCCTGGTGCAGGATCGGTGGCGGTGGCGGGGTCTAAGGGCCTCGGTGCTTCCCTTGGGGGACAACTGTGTGGGTGTCCAGCGCACCCTGACACCTGTTCAGAGGCAACAGGCTGCCCCACCCCCATCCCTCAAAGAGCACAGGCCCTACCTGCATGAAGGCCTGAGCCTACTGTGTCTCTGTAGCACTCGGAGAGCTTCACCTTTGACGATGCCCAGCAGGAAGATAGGAAGGTGGGTGCTGGCCTCAGGGTAGTGGAACAGGGAGGGGTACCCCAGGAAGACGGCCTGGTGGCGCCACTGTCCTCCCTGCCCACAGAGACTTGCAAAGCTGCTGGTGTCTGTCCTGGAGCAGGGCTTGCCACTTTCACACCGTGTCACCTGGCTGCAGACTGTCCGAATCCTGTCCCGGGACCGTAGCTGCCTGGCTCCATTCACCAGTCGCCAGAGCCTGCGCGCACTAGCCTCCTATGCTGACTTATCTGCCTGTGAGGGGTTCCTTTCAGAGGCCCCTGACATGGATGTCGTGCTCGAGTCCCTCAAGTGCTTGTGCAACCTTGTGCTCAGCAGCCCCGTGGCACAGGCACTTGCTGCCGAGGCCCATCTTGTGGTGAAGCTTACAGAGCGTGTGGGGCTGTACCGCAAGAGGAGCTTCCCCCATGAGGTGCAGTTCTTTGACCTACGGCTCCTTTTCCTGCTAACCGCGCTGCGTGTTGATGTGCGTCAGCAGCTGTTTCAGGAGCTGCATGGCGTGCACTTGTTGACTGATACACTAGAGCTGACGCTGGGAGTGACCCCTGAAGAGAGCCCCCCTGAAGTCCTTCCTCCCCAAGAGACTGAGCGGGCCATGGAGATCCTCAAAGTGCTCTTCAACATTACCTTTGACTCCATCAAGAGGGAGGTAGAGCAGGTAAGTTGTAGCCTGAAACCACTGTGGGGGTCACCTTAGCTGAGATACTTCATGGACATGTCTTCTACAGTACCTTTAGGTTTCTGAGTGTCAGACATTGAGAAAACAGTAGGACATTTCAGGACATAGCTACTCCAGGGGAGGCTAAGGAATATTCTCCACTTGTGGAGCAAAGGCCCGTGTGACTTCATCCCAAGGTGATCCACTAATGTCTTAATCTAGAAAGTGCCTTTAGAAGCACACTCATGGACTTTTTGTGGAAATAGCAGTGATTGTCTTTAGCCCAGCACTGGTCACACTGGTCAAGGTCACCAGAAGTAGTTAAAGCCACACAGTCCTGGAATGCAGTAATGTACATGAATGGAGCTCCCTTTCACAGGAACCCTTTCTGTTTTTGCTCAGGAAGATGCTGCCCTTTATCAGTACCTGGGGACCCTTTTGAGGCAGTGTGTGATGATTGCTGCTGCTGGAGACCGCACAGAGGAGTTCCATGGGTGAGAGCAGAGCCTGTTATGCTGGGAGGGACATACTTGAGCCCTAAATGGTGGTCCCCAACCCTGGCCATAGACCAGAACCACTGGAGAACCCAGACACAACTGTAGAGTCCAACTTTTTCAGGGGAACCAGACATCATTGTGTTTCCAGAGAGCCTCAAGTGCTTCCAGGACATGGCCAGGACAAGAACTATGGATTTAGGGGCAGAATAATGTGGGCATGGTATCACAGATCAGTGTACTCCCTTGCCCTTGACTTGTGCCTTGGCTGGTGTGGGTTCCCAGAGATCATTTGGTGCTTCAGCCTAGATAGGTTGGGGTAAGTAGGGTTTCTGTGGAAGGCAGTGTCCCTCAAGAGGACTCTCTCACACACCTGGATATCTCTCAACAGTCCATTGTCTGTGGTCCTTTGTGCTGTTCTGAGGCCCCCTGGACCCTGGCTCACATCACCAAGCAAGGTACCAGGTATTGCATTTGTGCTGGGGGATCAGCCCCATCAAGTCCTCTCTCCATCTGTCCCCAGCCACACAGTGAATCTCCTAGGGAACTTGCCCCTGAAGTGTTTGGATGTCCTCCTCACCCTGGATCTACACGAAGGCTCTTTGGAGTTCATGGGAGTAAACATGGATGTGATCAGTGTCCTCCTTGCCTTCCTAGAGAAGCGCCTACATCAGGTAGGCATTTGTAGTCTCTGCTTCTGCACTGTTCACACTGGCGTGTATAGGTCATCTTGGTGGTGTGATCTGGGCGACTCTTCCAGCTGCTCTGTGATCCAGCCAAGTAGGAGCCAAAGCACTGGACCCTTCCTCCCTCAAAAACGTGGACACCCTGCACACTTAAGGCCTCATTTATACAAGTTTCTTAGGGTCTGGTAAGGTGCTTGTTATCTTTTAGCAATTCTCTTGTGTGGTCCTGAGAAGCCCCCAGTTTCTGCTTTTGATCCTTAGACACCTAGTGACCCTGTGAAATGATACCCCTTGGTGGCAAGCATCAACTGTTCCTTGGGATCCTGAAGAGACACGGGAGCCTTTAACCAGAGCTTCCCTTTGACTTCTGCAACTACAGCACAGGACATTTGGAAGGCTGAAGCTCTAACTGGTCCTTCCTGAGTTTGCGTATTTTAAGCAAGCACGAGCTACAGGTTGAGGTTCAGTAGATTGCTGAGGAATCCATGTTGCCAAACAAAGGATGCTCATAGTATGAGCCAGGTGGGGAAGGAGTGGGCAGTGAGCACTTTGGCTGTGACCATCTTCCCCATTGCTGTGGCTGTTGGTGTTGGGCTCCAGGGAGATAATTGGGGAGGCTGGACAGGGTTGGGAACTCTGCTTGCTGTCTATAAGACATGCAGTAGAAATTCTCTATTTTTGCTCTCATTTCCTAAGGGCAACATATACTAGTAGTGTGCTGACATCCTCAGATACCTAATGTCTTACTCTTAATCTTGGTTTATAGTTGAGATGGTTATACTGAAAGCAGTTGAATTGGTTGCACAAAGTCCAGTAGCTTCCTGAGTATCACGTAGCTTCCTGAGTATGAGCTCCTGGTCCTTGACTGACTGGCTGCAGTAGGCTTCTTCACAAACCTTTCTGTCAGAACTGAGGAGTGTGTGTAGCCTCCACTGCTGCTTCAAGCTGGGGCATTAACAGAGGCTCCTCTCCAGACCCACAGGCTGAAGGAGAGTGTGGCTCCTGTGCTAACCGTGCTGACTGAGTGTGCCCGCATGCACCGTCCAGCCAGAAAGTTCCTGAAGGCCCAGGTATTTGGCAGAGGAGCCAGAGTACCTGGGGAGTATGGGCTGGGCCTGGCCTGGTCACAGATGCTGAGCTGCTCCAAGTCTGGGCTGAGAGACACTGCCTCCCCAGGTGCTGCCACCCTTACGGGATGTAAGGACTCGACCAGAGGTGGGGGAGCTACTTCGGAACAAATTGGTTCGCCTCATGACACACCTGGACACAGATGTGAAGAGGGTAGCAGCCGAGTTCCTCTTCGTCCTGTGCTCTGAGAGTGGTGAGTTGGGGAGCCCGAGCCTGGCCTTCCCTGCCCACCAGCTCACACACTGACTTAAGCCCTGGCCTCCAGTGTCCCGGTTCATCAAGTACACAGGCTACGGGAATGCTGCTGGCCTTCTGGCTGCCAGGGGCCTCATGGCAGGAAGCCGGACTGAGGGGCAGTACTCGGAGGAAGAGGACACAGACACAGATGAGTACAAGGAAGCGAAAGCCAGGTCTGTGCCCCTTATACCCTCGGGTTTCCCTCACTGCCCCAGTCCCTGCTTGCTAACCAGCTACTTTCCTGTGGTATGGGGACAGGATGAGTGGATAAGGCCTTCCAGAATCAGGCACCTGGTCCAAAGTGACGTGTCCTGGTCTCTGAGTTTGGGTCTAGATCTGGATCACTGGAAAGACCAAGGAGGAGCTGGCTAATTGCTGGCTAATGGCTGCTCCTGAAAGAGCTCCCTGCAGCTATCACCCCTGCCCTACTGTCACCAGGAGAATGGGCTTCTTGCTAGTCCAGGCCTGGACAGGGGACTCCAGCACCTCCAGCCCCTCTTGTCCAGGAGTCACTAACTCATTCCCCATCCCCCATTTTGGGAGGCAGCATCAACCCAGTGACTGGCAGGGTGGAGGAGAAGCCACCTAATCCTATGGAGGGCATGACAGAGGAGCAGAAAGAACATGAGGCCATGAAGCTGGTGAACATGTTTGACAAACTCTCCAGGTATGTGAAGTGAAAAAAGGCCTGCATCTGGGAAAAGGGAGGACAGACCCATATCCTGTCTTAGGATCCCCTGGAGGGGGTCCAAGAAGGTCTAGGATTCTGGGTGGGCTGTATTACTGGTGTTTGAAATCACCTGTCCTGTTAGAAATACCTGAGAAGTGTTAGGGTGAGGTCAGTATTGTACCCATTTTACAGATGAGGAAGTCTTGAGGCCCAGAAAGTAAGACCTAATGTCTCAAAGGCTTTAGGTAGCAGTTAAGACTTGGGCCTGATTAGCACAAAGTTAAACCCAGGCTTCCCCAGCAACAACCAGGGATGAAAAAGACCCCTGCCTGATATACTCCCTTACCAAACTCCACTGCATCTTTTTCCTACAGGCACCGAGTCATCCAGCCCATGGGGATGAGTCCCCAGGGACACCTCACATCCCTGCAAGATGCCATGTGTGAGACCATGGAGGGGCAGCTCTCCTCAGACCCAGATTCAGACCCTGACTGAGGATGGTGGTTCCTCTGCTCTACCTTCAGAACTGGTGCTGCTTTAAGAAACATCCTTGGGGCTGCAGCCTTGGGAAGCCCAGCACCTCTCCAGCTGGAGTCCCTTTCTCTTCACACTCCAAGTTCTGCTTGTGATTTGCCTCTAGTCCTATTTCTTATCTTTAGGACGGCAATGGTCTTGTGCTGCTGTAGATCTGGAAACTTGGCCCTGGTTTCTACAGGTGAGGCTGACCTGAGCAGGGAACTTCTGATGTGAGCCCATCTGGTACACTGGTATGCTGTATTTCACAGGGGAAGGGATGGTCTAGAACTTTACAGTCCACACACTGGGTGCAAGGTAGTATCTTATTATGTATCCACCAAATGAGGCCAGTCATCCTTCTGCATTCCCCTAGATCCTGCCTCAGCCACCCACCAGTGTCCACATACCCATATTCTCATTGGCTGTGACACCTGAATATCAATCCTATCCACAGTCTGTGGTTCAGACTAAATACTTATATGAAGGAAAATGGCCCTCGTGAGACCATAAGATGAAATCTTGAGATGTCCAAGAGTCCAAGAAACACCTTAGAATAAAGAAGAATTTTGCACAGTACTGTCTGAATGTATGTGTAAGATAGTTAAGTAAAGTGACATTAAGTAAAAATAGAAACTAATACTGTTCTTTTCAGAATTTGACCCTTTTAGGTTATGTATCTTGTTAGCACCAAGAAACAAGGTCACAGGACCCCCTTCAATGGCATCTGTCAGTTAGGTCTGTCTCTGTCAACTCTAGCCCAGTGCAGGCACTGCTCAGGAACAAGTGCTTCCACACAATGCCAAGGAGAAGGACATGCACATAGGTGGGAGCCAGTGTGAGTTCTGCCAGGCACAGGGGCAGGGCCAGCAAGGTTTTCTAGGGAATGATGCCTTCTATGTGGATAGAACTGGCTCTGGTGTCATTAAAGGGAAAGGCCCTATATAGGGAAGAAGATATGGGTACAAAGTGGACTGAGAAATGCTGGACAAACCATCCAGAGGAGGCAGGTGTGAATATCACAGGCTAAGGCCAACAAATGTGACAGCCAGCAGAGGGAGAGGTAAGTGCTCTGATGGCAGGGCCATCTTGAGGGTGAATCCAAGGACAGACAGGCTCAGTCCTGACTGCTCAAAAAGGGAAAACCCACATACCCAGAGGGTTCTACTTTGCATAGGCCTAATAACATCTGTTGTCCTTCTGAGGAGACAAAAACAAAAGGATACCCATTTTTGATGCTAAAATTATTTCATGCAAGAATGAAGGATAAGACTTTCTCTAACAGTAATCCAACTGCAGGGCCAGGGATTAGCTCAGTGGTGCCACTGCCTGCCTCACAAGCAGAAGGCCCCAAGGTCAATCCCCGGTACCAAAAATAATAATCCAATTGCAAAAAGCAACATGGTAGAAGACCCTAATACACCACCTGAGCCCAAGCCCAGGTCTAACAGACATGCCAAGCTGCCTCCAGACAGCCCAGGAGTCCAGTTATCTGCTTAGATTCCAGAAGGTCACCCTCAGAAAAAGTGTTTTGCATTAAGAATATCAGCAGAGTAAAGACCTAGATACACCAAACAGGCCAGGCAGCTCTTGGCATCCATGGCTAGGTGGTCCTGAGCACAAACAGGCCCTGCCCAGCAGAGGTCCTGGTGCACCCTCAGGTATCCACAATACCTCAGGCTGCATGTCATGGTTTGGCCAAGATTCGTGAGTGCCAAGGCTGTCTTCAGAAATGGGATGTAGATCTCTCCTGTGTAACTGTTTCTTGTACATCGGACAGTCACCCTCCTGTCTCATCCATCCAGCTGGAAGAGAGGAGAGAAGAAATAAGTTGGCTGGCACATCTCAGTACTGGATCAAATGTATAACTGAAAATAAGCAAAACTGGGCCGGGGATTTAGCTCAGTGGTTCGGTGGCCTGCCTCACAAGCGCAAGGACCCAAGTTCCATCCCCGGTACCAAAAAAAAGAAAGAAAAAAGGAAATAAGCAAAACATTTCATAAAACAGAAACTTTTCTCCTTGCAAATAAGCAAGTGAAGAGATCCCAGCAGGCCTGCCAAAACAGGGCTAACTGGAAATCCTTGTTCCATGGGATTTTAAATACCCACTTAATATGTACTGATGCTCACATGCTCAAAAACATTCCCTGTTTAGAAAACCCTGTGGATGGCAATTTTTTTAAAAAAATTTTTTTTTAATCCTAACTTATTTTACATAAATTTCTGTGAACTAGGAAATAGCACAGGTCAATTTCTGTAGGGCCACGTCCAGAAATCCATAAGGGCTCTACACTGTTTCTACATAAATAGAAATCAAAACCAAGAAACCTCACAAGACTGCCAAGCTGATCTATGGAAGCTCTCTACTCCCCTAGGAACTGGCCAGAGGGCACCTGCCTCAATGGGTCACATTCTGGATTCTCTGTTTCCACCACAAAGCAAACCAGCAATATGACTCCTATATATTGATATGAGAAAACACGAGCCTACATCTTAGCCCTAAGAACCAGACTCTGAAAGGAAAGCCAAAACATTAATAGTGATGTCTAACAAGCAGAAACAGCAAGTGCTGTTTCATATCCTTAGTAAGTCTTGTACTCTCCAGTGGTTCAGTCTGAGTATGAAGTGAGGCTGTAATCTCAGGGTGGAAACGTTTGCCAGTGGAGATAAAGGAGAATGATGGTCATGGTAACGAGGCAGGCACAGATGAAGACAAAGGAAAGGGTTAGGGTTTCCTAAGATACCTGACAGGGACAAGAACATCAACTGTGTTATATTCTGATGAACTCCTTGGCCAGTGTTAAACCTTCCTATAACCATAGAATTAGGCTTCAGATGCTAATGCTACCTCCTATAGAAAATATCTCTGATTGCTGAGGCTAAACGTGTTGATTTTCCACTGGCACCTGCATTTTCTGTGATTTCACTTGCTTATAGGAGGTGTGAAGTCTAGAAAACATCAAGGCTGTCTGGTTTCCTCCTTGGTGGGTGATAACAATGACTCATACCAACTACTTCCTAAAAGCATCTCTGGTTCAGGCTTCATCCCAAATGGTGCAGAGAATTAGCTTCATTTTAGGAAGCAAAAGTCAGTGACTTTTGAGGTAACAGGAACTGCCTAGAGCCCATCCCTCCTTGGCCACTGTTCACTGTGAGGCCGTGAGAGCAGGAAGGAGGCATCAGTTTGCTCCTCTCCGAGTGCTGGCAGTGAGTCCAGCTCAGAGCTCAGTACAAAAGGGACAGCAATATCAGCAATTACTGTTCTTGCCAACATGGCTACACTCTGAGTGGTCCAGACCCCAGAACTGTGAGTACCTTTCCAGTTTCCCGCTGGACAAGGTCCTGCAACTCTTCTCTCCAGCCCAGAAACTCCACCAGCCTTTCCACGCTGTGAACCACATCCCCCAGCTGGACCACGTCTCTGCTTCGAGGACGCCAAGCAAAGGACCCCACTAGGTCCCGGTTGATGAGCAGTCGAGGCACTGAACCACATACAGCCTCAGACAAGCTGGCAAAAGGTTCCACCTGAAAAACAGCATGAACCATCAGGCTGTGATGCCACAGCCATGGAGGCCTTGAGGGGCAGGAGACAAGGGTCACACCCTGGGATGCAGGGACTCTCACAGTCTGGATGGCCTTCTCCCAGGCCTCCTTTTCTCTCCTCCATTTGCCTTGGCATCTCACCACATCCCTCCTGCCAAATTGCATTCTGTTCTATCCTACCTACCATACCACATGGCCCCTGCTGGTGGCCTTACTACACTTGTCTCCTATCTGGAAGAGGAGCCAGAGCCTCTGCAGGATCCTGACATGAGGTACTGTCTCACCACCTGTTATTACCAGCAGACACCAGGGAGGTCTAACACCAAGCCATCAGGCTTCTGCACAGGCTCTCAAATTTTCTTGCATGAGTAACAGTGTTAAAAAAAGAAATTAATACATAGTATCAAAACTGGGATGAAAATTAATCAACTCCCACCTTTCGTTGAAAAAGTTTTAAATGGATTAAAGATTTAAATGTTCTTGAAGAAAATGGGCTTTAGGGCCGGGGATTTAGCTCAGCGGTTTGGTGGCCTGCCTTGCAAGCGCAAAGACCCGAGT